CTGTTCCCAGGTGCAGGGGGCTCCCGCGGCCAGGCCCCGCACCGGGACGGCTGCACCCTGCCCTGCCTGCGCTGTGCCCAGCGTGCAGGAAGGCCGATCCCAGCGGGAAGCCCCGCGAGCCCGGCGTCCTGCCCCATTCAGGCAGCATCCCCACGTGCGCAGGGTGGCTACGGCCCATCCTTTCGGAGCTGCACGGGCTGCCCAGGCCCCATCACAGGTGCCGCTGGGCACCCCCGCCCGCCACAGCTCGAGCCCCAGGGCAGCCCCCACCTTCCTAAGGGCCCGAGCGCCTCCCCCCCACACCGCCCGGCCCCAGCACTCCGCACCTCAGTGCTGCCCCGCGTGGGACAGAGCGTCTGCCTGCCTGGGCCCGGCCGGGCTGGAGGGTGCCGCCGTGCTCCGACTTGCGGCTGCGCAGGAGAGCCCGGAGCAGCAACTTTAAAAAAAACAAAACCCCCCAATTTCGTTGCGTGCCTCCTGGTGTGCTGGGAAAAATCTCTCTGCGTGCCGGGGGTTGCCAGCACCTGTCCTAGAACATAGAGGAAGTTAAAGTAACAGGCTTCCCTATGGCAGTCTGGTGTGATGGTTGGCAACATTTCTGGGTAGAGTGCCAAAAACACCCACAACCTTGACTGGTAAGATGTTGGCGTGTCAGGGGTGAACGGTGGGAGAGCTATGAAGGGCCTGGGTTTTGTTGGGGCAGTGCAGCCCCTGGCCCCTTCCCCACTGTCCTCCCTGGGGTGTGTGCGCCAAGCAAAATGCCTTTGTATGCCAGGCTCTGGCACCTGTGCTGGGGATTGCCCACCGCTGACCTAGTGTTTGTCTACTCACCTTAATTTATGTCCCGAATCAGAATGTGTTAGTAATGTTAAGAATCTAGCACCTGTATTAACAAATAGAAATAATAAACAGCTGCAATCTGAAAGATGAGATTTTAAATATTAAATTTTGAGTTGGCAACTGGCTGAATTTTGAACATACCGCCTTCACATTCATAGACTTTGAAGCCAGAATGGCACATTTGGAATGACATCCTTTATGTCATAATTCTATAAATGTCGTTCCATCACCCCTGTTTTATATTCAACAAATTACACTGGAATAAAATAGTACTGATGTTTGGCTATTTGTTCCCTTGGTAGTTTATTCCATTGGTTAATCATCCTCACTGTTAGAAATGCGTGCCACCTTTCTTATTTTAATGTGTCTATCTAGAGTCCTGTCTTTGGCTCATGTTATGTATTCTCTAGATTAAAGAGCTCCTTGTTACTCAGCCTTTTCCTCTGTGAAAATTTTAGGCATGGACACTTCTCTTCAAATAACTGCGTGCCTACTCCTTTCTTCTGTGAGGTTCCAGAAAACTGCCTCAGTGGGAATCTGTAAAGAGGAACATGCCCCCCCGTACCATGTACCACAAGAGCCTATGGGAAATGTACCTGGACCCTCACAGACAATTAGAACATTCTTTTCTGTGTTCACCTGCTGCTCTCTTCATTCTCAGGATGGCTCTGGAAGAAACCAGGGTGTGCAGAAGCATCTATAGAGAAAATGCAGCAGGACTCAGGGCTACTTGAAAGAGCATCAGATGGTCTACTGTGTTCACATATCTATGAAGCCAGTCAGGTACGATGTTTTAGTGAGTTATTGATTCCAAGTTTCACCCCTTTTTGTACTCTGCATTTTTCAGAAGGGGAAGGGTGAGAAAGATGTAAACAGTGTTGGGGATGTGGCATTTCATCCACCTCAGTTCCTTCTGGTCTCCCACAGATGGTTTTTCTCCCTCTCCTGACTCCCTGCCACAGTTTCCTCTCCTTCCCTTCCCTTACACTCAAGTAACAGGTCTGGGTCTCCAAAGCCACTTTGTCCAAAACTCTAAAATGCATCAGAAGTATCCAGGACATTTAATTATTATCCTTGTAGGAGGATGCAATCTCTTATCTAAAACATCTTTCGAGTACTATTTTAAAGACAAAGGACTCAAAACTTGTGGAAGAGGTGATATCTTTTATTAGACCGACTAGGTATTTGCAAACAACTTATTGAATTTTAAAGATAGTACATTCAAACACCCATTACTGCGTTGCATGGCTAATTTGGAAGCTATGTACGTATCTATGAGAACAGAAATTAATACACACACACCGATCTTTAAGGAAAAACAAAGGGTAGGATAATTTGTATGCGTATTTTCTAATCATATTCATATTTAGTGACCTACAAGTTAAAAAGCATCATTTTCAGATTCTAGATTTCCACCAGAAAGTGATCCTACCAGTTCACATTGTTCATCTGAAGCATCACAAATGACATTTTCTTTGTTAGCAAAATAAACATACCTATTTTGCAGTGGAAAAATGGGATGAGAGCTCAGTAGCTATTAGCCTTACAAATTCTCCCAAATGTGCCAGTAAGTAAGTTTCAAACTATGAACTAAGACTCAGTGCAGGTTTTGCCTACATGAAGATACCAGGATACCATATAAAGAAGGCAAGCTACTGATAAAATTTGTTTGGAATAAAAATATCAGCTGTCTAGAGAGATGGACTGACTGCCAGCTCTTTAGTTTCCAATGGAAAGCCGTAGGTCACAAAGAGCACTCAGGTATTCTTCATTACTAGAATCCCGTGCCAGGGCCTTCTCATAGCATTCAATTGCTTCTGACTTCTCTCCATTCAACTGGTGAATGAATCCAAGAGCACCAAAATGTGCAGCATCTGCTGATCCTCTCTGAATTCTCTTATCTACAAGTTTCTTCAGAGCATTCATGCACATCTTTCTTGTCATGTCTCCCTCAATTTTCAGCGCTTCCATGAAGTGTTTAATAGCATCAGCTTCTGATTTTTTGTGAAATTCCAAAAACTGTCCATAGCGGTAGTGGATTTGTTGTTTCTCTTGACAGGTTAATTTCATTTGAAGTACTTTCTGAAAAGTGTCTTCTGCTTCTTGATACCTTTTTCCTTCTGCATACATATTTGCAAGGTCAGTATAGGCATATATAAACTTTGATTTTTTGTCCACTGCTGCTTTAAAGTGAAAAATGCAAAGTCTAATGAGCTCTACCTGCTCTTTAAATGACTGCTTTGTAGCCCTTTTCAACTGATACATCTTTGTTCTATAGCAAAGACCAATCTGGTGGTGCAGGAAGCTAGAGGTTGGTGTAAAGGTCAATGCCTTTTCCAAAAATTGCAGTGACTTATCCACTTCCCCTTTTCTTCTGTAAAATTTTGCAGCATATCGTAGTACATAGGGAACATCTGGGGTTTTTTGCAATGCCTTTGTAATGTACATTTCCCCTTCTTCGACTTGAGCCATGTCCTGAAGTTCTAGTGCAAGGTATGACATGACAAAGGTATCATTTGGATTCAGTGTCACTGCACGCCTTAAAGGTTCCAAAGAGGATCCTTTGATGAGATCATCTTCCAGGCGATACATTGCAATGGCATAGCCAGAAGTAAATTCTGGGTTTTCAGGTTCTTCTGCTAGAGCCTTTTCAAAGCATTTCTTTGCTCTTTCATAATATTTTCTGCCAAACTTTAACAATGCCCACCCCTCTTCACAATAGACTTCTGGAAGTTGACACTTATAGCATGAGGTGCTTGATAGCTCTTTGCAGCTGTCTTTCACCTTGCTTACATAGGTTTGAGCTTCTTGAAGTTTGTTCATACGGTAATAAATCCAAGCATAGTTCCCCCAAGTGACAAGACTTTTCCTGTGAACCTCACCTGCACGATTTCTTTGAGCTGCTGCTTCAGCTTTCTGTAGACTCTGCAGGGCTTCCTCACTGTTGCCGTTCAGGTGTTTCACATAGGATAGCAGATTATAATTTGAAATTTTGGATTTGGTGGTTAGAAACTCAATCTGATCACAGATCGTTTCTTCTAGGTCATCAAGATCAACATCTTCCTTCAGCAAAGTCCATGTAAAGTGACATTCGAGCTGCAGCAGGATAGGCTGTAGGGTATTCTTGGAAATATTACTAGAGGAAAAAACAGAAGAATATGTTTAAGCATCTGTGAGAAGAGCAGATTCATGAATAAAGATATGCAAAGGAGGACAATTAACTATCTGGTTTTGGTTTTCTCCATCACTGTTATTAAATTCTCAAATTCAGAAAATTTGGGGGTTGAGAGGGGCTCAATTTTTTGAAGACTTGAATAACAAGTCTTTTTATTAGCCAGGCATTAGTGGGCCTCAAGAATACCATTGGTTAATCTTCGTTGTCACTGCCTCAGTAATCACATTAAATACAAAGGTGCAGAGTTTGGGATGTTTATGTGGATGTCAAGCTACAAAAACTTAGTGTTGGCTTGGGTCTTGTAATCAAAATCTGTGGGGTGGGAGAGAGGCTGAACCCTGCCTTATGGAGACAGACAAAAAAATTTACAAAGATGTACAGAAAGATGTAAATTTGTACAACCTGCCTGCAATATCTCTCTATCTTAGCATTCACATTTTAAATGTAACCTTAATTCCAGATTTCTATGGCTTGTGTAAAAATTATTACAACATTTGGCAATGCTGTTATGTTACTGGTAAGTTTTCTCAACTTTGGGCTTGTCCAGACAAGCACGCATGTGCCTCTTGCCCCATCTCAAACCCCTTTGAGATGGGGCAAGAGGCACGTGCAGGAATGAAAAAATGTTCCCCGTGCTGCAAACTTGCAGAGTGGGGAGAAAATTAGACCCCTGGATGTCAAACAAAAACCCGAGGGGAAAAAACCAGGTCAGGACACGATCCCAGACTGTGCCCTAAGGCAACCAGAGGCTCAGTCCTCCAGAGACGCTCTGCCAGAGTGTCTCTATGATTGGCCCTTTCCCCAGTCCTGAAGCACGCTGCCCGCCTGTGCTGGGCAGGCAGTAGTGCAAGCTGCAGGGACCCGGCTTTTGCCAGGTAAGCAGGGAGTTGTGGGGCTGGAGGAGGGGAGAGGGGATCTCGGGAGGCTAGAGACAGCAGGGAAGGAGCAGGGGGCTGGATACAACCCTGGAGGCATTCACCCTTGCTCTCCTGAAGCTGGAGGCAGCAGGAGAATGTCTGCGTGGCTGCCTCCAGGCCTGTGCACTTTCCCCTGCTTGTCTCCAGCCTCTGGAGAGCAGGGGACAGCAGATGAATGCCTCCGGGGCTGTTTCCAGCCCCTTGCTTCATCTCCTGCTTGTTTCCAGCCTCTGGAGGCTGGAGACAAGCAAGGGAAGGAGCAGGGGGCTGGAGACAGCAGGGGGAATGTCTCCAGGAGCTGTCTCCAGCCTCCTGCTCCTTCCAGAGGCTAGAGACAAGCAGGGGAAGGAGCAGGGGGCTGGAGTTGAGCAGGAGGCTGGAGACCAGCCCCTGGAGATAAGCTGGAGACTTTCTCTGCTCTCTCCAGCCTCCTGCTCATTGTCTGCCACTGCTGGTGAGTGTGGGGGAGAGCAAGCGGGGAGCTGGGGGAATGAACAGAGGGTGGGGGGAATGAACAGGAGATGGGGGAACAAATGGGGGGCAGGGGAAAAGAGTGGAGAGCAGGTGAATGAATGGGGAGCAGGGGAAGAAACAGGG